GCAGCTCTGGCTCCACGGCGATCCTCAGCTCTGTCGCTCCTAGATGCGATGGCCATCGGTGGGCTCGTGCTTATGCTCCGCACCGCGGGGAGATGGTGGGCTGGGCTGTGGGTCGAGAGTGGAACTGTCATCCACGGGACAGACGGTGAACGGAGATCCGTTTCTCGCCAGTGTCCACTCCACGAAGGCGGCAAAATCCGCTCGAGCGCGTTGTCCGGATAGCTGGTCAGATAAGCGAGGACCAGGAACAGTCTGGTATGGTCCTCGAGTGATCTTTCCCCCTGCTCCAGCAGGAGGAGGAGGTATTCGGGGCGGGTGAAGGCATCCATAAGGGAACAATGGGGGGAAAAAACACTGTACGGAAAACGGAAAACAAACAGAGGGTAAAGCGCAAATAAAGTTACTTTTGTGGGTCTGGGATTCTGTCATGATTGCCTACGGAGAGGAGCGAGGAACGAGGAGACAAGGAGTAAACTCAAATAGCAGTCCTTTAATCAACATCCAAGGGGTAACACAGGGCAGGCAGCCCTGTCTCCGCTTCCAGCCTCATAGGAACACACATGTAGCACAACATAGACTTTCAATCCCGGACAAAGACAGACTGCACAGACTGGAACTTAAATGCATGGGGTAACGAGGGATAATCAACGAACACAGGTGAATCAAATGACTAATCACACATGAGGAAACTGGGTCACAGGGGCCACGTGGGGAGAAAAACAAACACAGACAGTCCATAATCCTGACAGGCATCACTTCAGAAATCTTTGTGAATGCAGACTGAATGGCTAGGTGCTTGATTTTATACACCTACCTATATGACAATGAGACTGATGGAAACAACTGAATTAAGAGAACCTGAAATAATTAAGAGGCATGTCACAATATTTTTGTCCTTAAATGCAAACAAGGAGTATCTTTTTTTTCTCCTCACAATTCAAGCACTGACTACATTAGTAATTCCATCTATTTTCCCCCAGGTGTGTTGGTGTTAAATGTGAAGAAAACAAACACGGATTATGTCTAGTGAGTCAGTCTGATATTCAGGAGCTCTTTTGCCCGACTCTGTCTGACAGCAGCTGTGGGTGTATGCGATAGAAGACAAGAGATTTTACCATGAAACGGCATCAGTTTTAAGATGATTCACTAGCTGTAAGATGACCTGAGGGCTTCTGTAAAGCAGCAGGTCAAACTCACAGCTCCAAAATCACTAGCTCCAAATGCAATGTGTGTCTACATCTGTCTAAGAGATTTAGCATGATGTGGCTTGAAGGCATACATATACAAAGCAGTATGAATACACACGTATTTTAAAATCAACCTGAAATCTAAATTGATATTGTTTACATCATGTTGTTCATGCTATTTCGAAGGGCATCAATAATACCTGGAAAGGCATCAATATGTTTACATTCATTTTAATGGCTCATTTACATACACTCACAAGTCGTTCTTCAGAAATAATCTTGAACTGTGAGCTTGATTTTGGTCAAAGTTCCTCTTACTTTCTAATCCTTTCACTCCAACCTGTCTCCATTCTAGTATGTAATACTTCTCAAGACCCAATCAAAACCCAGTGGAGAAAATCAAGACCAGCACTATTTTTTTTTTCTTCATCACTGACTATCTTGTTTCACTAGGAAATACATCCGTTTACAGAATTAAAATGTTTTTTTTAAGTGCATGGAGAAAAACATGGATGATGGTGAAACTAGGGCACATCCTGTGCTAAGAGAACGGGGGATAATTATATCAGTATCTATATTCTTTCTATATGTAGTGCATTTCAGTATCAATTCATTTAATTTGTTTTAATAAAAACAATAATATTATTCAAAAAAAATTTTTTTATTGATTTTGCAGCAGTCATTTGATTTGTCATTTGACCCAGAACTAGTGCAGAACTGTGTTTCTAATTCATTTTACACCATGACTTGTCTCTATTATCTTTTTTAAAACATGTTTCTTTTGCTTCTAGATTAAAAATTAAAATCTGAGATCTGAGAGCAGTTTTTTAATGTGGTTTTAGATATTTGGACCCCACTGCATATACGAGACAATGAAAAAAAGACCTCTCTTATATAGAAGAAGATATAGGCTTTTAATATAATCTGTATTTTCATCTCCTGCTGTGCCTGTGTGCCACAAATGTCAAAGGCCACAGTCTCTGAACCCTGCATTGACTGTCTAAAGGAAGGAGAAGTACTGGTTTTCATCTTAGAGCAGTGCAGATATCTGCCAGAGTGTGATGGAGCACAGGGACAATTCCAATTGAAATCTAAAGCCCTTCCTAGAGGATGCTATGTCAAAGCCCTGCAATCTACAGATTTATATGCCACTGGCAACCAAACACCAAATGAAACACACGGGAGACTCGACTAACAGGGTTGAGCAACATTCAGAATAAAATGGAGCTAGCGAACAAGATGCATAATTGCTACTTACTGTAAATATGAAGGTAAGGATGTTGAATTAAAATGAGGAGAAATTCATATAATAATATATGTTGAAAGACCTAATACCTTATGTTGATAGGAATCTATTTTACCCCAAATTTGTATGTGCTATGCATTTTTATGTTTACTAGAGTGTAAATCCAGCACGTTTTGTTGTAATAAGTACTTTAAAATACATTAAAGTGTACTGCTAAAGTCTGTGTACATTTTGATAGTTAATTTTTTCCATTTGAAATTAATTAAACAGCACTTCTATCAACATTGTTTCCAAAAATGTACCTATACCTACAATTTGCTGCAGTTATCAGTTGAATGAACACTAGTTCACTCAAAACACCAACAACTTTTATTCCGTTTCATGCTAATGATTATTATGATTACATGGTAGATGATCAATTAATGGTTCCTTGTACAATCCTGTGCTATCAACTCAAAACTATTTTGCCATAGTGCATGATTTGTAAATTAATCATTTTTAACGTTTGCATGACATAATCAGCAGTGTATGCATTGCTTTTCCAATTTAGTAAACTTGCTTGGTAGCCCATCTGGTACAGCATTGCATTTTGGATGCAGAGTGTTCAGGTACGAATTCTGTGCAACACAGTTTGGTGAAAGAGCTCAAAGCCATGTAAAAATAAGGTCAAATTGCATGTTATTTATTTATTTATTTAGATTGAGTGAGTGAGTGAGTAGAAAAGATCTACCCGTGCTATCAGTTCTGAATTTAATGTGGTAAGTCTGAAAAACATGGTACAGATGAAATGTGAGTGACACAAAGCTGTCGTATAATATCAGAAGATATAGTAGTCCATAAGTCCTGCTTTTCTTTGTGTTTTTTTTTTTTTTAATTTTGAGCTTGGCTGCATATATCAGTACACTGTTATCCCTGAAATTGTTTTAATTCAAAATACTTAGATACAATAAACATAAACTCCAACATTTTTGCACAATTACTCAATTTGTTTAGTTTGTTGTACGATTTGCAAGATTTTTTTCATTCTATTGAATTGTTTAAACTGAATGTACTTAACATAGTTTATTCTAGTCTGTTGTCAGTGAAACGCAATACAAGGTAGATTTTGATTGGCTCTTTGAATTGATGTCAGGCATGGATGCAGCGCGGATTTTTACGTCTGCTGGTGACTGTGAGTAGGACTTTACATTTTTGTCTCAAACAGCAAATACATTAATAGTCGTTAATAAATGAGAGGTATAACAGTTAGCTAGTAACTCTAAATGTAAGTTTAGGCTGTGTTTACATGTAAATTTACGCCACAGTGTTGTACCGATCGATCGCAACCGCCACAATTACATATAACGTTAGTTCTATGTTACGACATGCTCTATCGTCACATCTAAAATCGAATGCGTATCATATTTTTGATCAACAATAATTGTATAAGTGTATAATAATAATAATAATAATAATAAGTGTATGTTCCACATTCAGTGCACACAGAAGTAAGCATCATCAAGATCAAAATGAGAGAATGTTTAAACCAGAGTTAATAGTAAGAATAGAGAGTAATGAAAATGACAGTGTAATTGACACTCAGGAGTGTGCTGTGCAGGAGATGCATCCAGATGAATTGGGCCAAGATAATTTTAGTGCAGAAGAAAGTGAAACACAATCTCAAGATTTAGGACAACAATTGGAACATAATTTAGCTGCTCTTTTTTAAAAATGCAAACCATCCTTCACATACCAGAGAACTCTGTTCAGGAAGTAATTCAACATCTTTACCAAATAGTTCAGTTGTCCCAGCCGCTTTTGCAAAAGAATGTGAAGGCTGTTCTTCAGAAACACTTTGGATATGTAGATGAGTCAGTTGTGAAGGAGGTGGTTAAGACTGTGGCAGAGAGTGACATATTGTCCAAATCTTGTAGAAAAAATGGATGTCTTGCAACCAGTAAAAGAAGAGCATCGTATGTAATGCGCAACTTTCCTCTGGTAATGCCTATAGAGTTTGTAGTTGAGAAAGGGAGAAAAACAGTAGTATACGTTCCCCTCTTACAGATGCTACAGAAACTATTGAACAAGAAAGACATTTTGGATAAGGCTATGTCAAAACAAGAACATAAACCACATGAATATAGGACATGTTGTGATGGCTCAGGGTTTAGAGAGAATGTCCTTCTTAGTTGCGATGACTTCACAATCGCTCTGGGTCTGTACATTGATGATTTTGAAGTGGCTAACCCTTTAGGAACATCTAAAAGAAAACATAAGATGTGTGCACTTTACTGGGTTATTGCAAACTTGCATGGAAAATACAGATCCACACTAAACTAAATTCAGCTTGCTCTCTTGTGCAACACTGAAACAGTTAAAAAGTGTGGTTATGAAAGAGTTCTGTATCCACTTCTTAGTGATTTAGCCACTCTTGAACAACATGGGGTTTACATTGAGCATCTTGGTAGAAGTGTTAAAGGAACAGTGCTCTATGTGTCAGCAGATAACCTTGGTGCCCACTCTCTTGCAGGATTTTATGAAAGCTTCATTGTGGACAAGTTTTGTAGATTTTGCATGGCATCCAGGACTTACACACAACACCAAGAGGTAAGATCTGGTGCATTTCAACTCAGAGAGAGAGATGCACACAACTGGCAGGTGCAAGAATCATTGCAGAATCCAAATTCATGTAGAAACACGTGTGTAAGAGGACAGTGCCCACTCACAGCAAATTTGGAGCATTTTTATGTCATAGGTGGTTATCCCCCTGACATATTGCATGATGTCTTTGAGGGAGTAGTCCCACTGGAGTTGTCTCTTTGCCTCAAAGACCTGATGGCAAAGAAATACATCACCCTAGATGTGTTGAATGAAGCTATCAGATCATTTCCGTATACATTCGCTGACAAATCTGATCAGCCTCAGCTGATTTCAAAGGGCTTCTCAACCAAGGGCACAATTGGGGGAAATGGCCATGAGAATTGGTGTCTAATTAGGCTTCTTCCTCTGCTTATTGGCCATAATATTCCTGAGGGTGACAACACATGGGAAGTACTCATGCTCCTAAAGGACATTGTTGCATTAGTTGTGGCACCTCAGTTTAATGAAGAGTCATTATACATCCTTGACTACAAAGTGGCAGAGCATAGGAACCTTCTGCAGTCAACCTTCCCCGACTTTACACTACGACCAAAACACCACTACATTGAACACTACGCTGAACTGATTAGGGTACATGGTCCACTTACTGAGGTCTGGACAATGCGTTTTGAAGCAAAACACAAGTTCTTCAAAAAGGTTATACGTGATGCCCAGAACTTCAAGAATGTTGCCATGACCCTTGCACTGAAACACCAGAGGGCTCTTAGCCATCAACTAGACTGCAGTTCTTTTTTCAAGCAGGGTGTGGAAATGACTAAGGTTACACAAGTGTTAGTTGCCACTTTCCCAGAAAACATTCAGAGAGCTCTTGGTCAAAAAAAGCCCTCAAACTCAAGCACTTCTTGTTGCACCATCGGTCTGCATTAATGGAATTGATTATAAGACAGACATGATACTTTCAGCTGGATCATGTTCAGGGCTACCTGATTTCAAGCAAATTACTCACATTGTTGCAGTGAACACAGAGGTACTTTTTGTGTGTAAAGTCATGACATCATGGTATTTTGAACACCTTCGTTCTTATGAGCTTTGCTGCCCAGATATGCCATCTTTTTGCGTGCTTCAGATTGAAGAGCTGAATGATATTGTTCCACTGTCAGCCTATAGTGTACATGGTAAACTGATGGTGACATTGAAGCGTTTTATTCTTTGCTAAATTAACTCTTTTGTGCTTTCCTTCCAGATGGCTTCTCAAGAAACCATGACTTTGCGAGTTATTCTTACAGAAGCTGATATCAGAAAAGTCACACTGACTTCAAAGCCATGCTCAGTTGAAGATTTGATTAGTTGTCTCAAAAACACTCTGGGACTGAACTATAATTTAACTTTACAGTTTCGAGATCCCGATTTTGATAATGAACTTTGCAATCTGACTGATTTGTCAGAGCTCCCTCAGAAGCCAACTGTGAAAATCATTCCTGTGATTGAATTGGTGTCACTGTCATCAGGTGAAATGGAGACATCCAGTGAAATATCGAGTGATGCTCTAAGTACTGCAGATACAGTACTGACCAAATCACCCCAGGAAAAGCGAATGCCATGGCCTGATATCTTTTTGATTCCAAAATTCTCTGTCAATGTTGAATATAGACTGCGTCAAGCAAATTTAATCTACTTGAAGGATGGAATGCACCTAAAAATGACAAAGGAATTGAAACATGACATTCTTCAGAAACTTGCAGAGACCATATACTCCTTCAAAGCATACCCAACTGCTGATGATCTAAGAGATGTTGCCAAGGCATTGATGAATACTCGCCCCTGTCTTCAAGAACCAGGGTCGCCTTCTGGATTCTGTGGGTGGACAAACAGTTTGAAAGACAAAATGGGAAATTACAGATCCAAAATGAGAAGCCTTGGACACACAGATGTCATGGTTAATGCTGGGAAAAGAGGAAGATACTCTACCAGCAGTGATCCACCTAACAAGAACATCAAGAAACCAAGGAAAGGGGAGGTCAACTACCTACCTAACCTTCCAAGTGGGCAGGATGCTTCCAGTCTTGAAATGCTCAGACAGCAGTTGGTGAATGAAATGAAGAAAAAAAACCCTGATGCAGTCTTTATCAATCAGAAGATGGACATGACTCTATCCTTAAGAAGACATGATGTTGTGATCAACAAGCCTCCTGTAAGCCTGATACTTCAGCGTTGGCCAGCACTTTTTAGAGAAAGACAGGTAAAGTGAAATGCCTATGTTTGCATTATTTGTAATGAAATGAATATTGATAAACATGAGAGTTACATGTTAATTTGACATTTGTTTAATTTTGACAGTTACCTGATGTTAACAAATGCTTTTTTGTTTTACTATTTTAGGTGTATCAAGAATTCAACCGGGTGGTTGGAAAGAACCTTACACAAGAATTCTATGGCTCTATTGATCGTCACTGTCCACAGCTGATTCAGATCTTCAGGTCAAAGAGAGGTCTCGCCGGGCAGATTTTGAGCAATCTTCTGCAAGAAGCCTAGGTTTGTACATCTAAATTGATGCCATTGTTTGCTGAATTTTGAAAAGCAGCCTGTTATGATTACTTTAAGACTCTTTAGTAACACAGACAAAATTATGATAAATAAAAAAGATTTTGACAAATGATACAATGTTGTCTCTGCAACCACCACACACCAGACCTCTGACCTCGCTGACATGCGATGTGTTGCGATTAGAGGGCTTCCAGTACTTCTTGGTGATGTCCCAACTGAGTTCTTCAAAGCATGCTTTGTAATTATTATTAATACATTTTTATTGTCATCGTTTTATTGTATGATTTTCTTAATGTGCATTTATGTTAGCAAAAACAATAAAGAAATCACCAAACACAATGTCATATTTTAGTTAAATGATAAAGGAAATAAGGAGTGAGGAGGAGGTTTTAATTAATTCAGGAGAAATTTGAATTCATGTTATGACACCTTTGAAACTTTAAATTACAATCCAGGGTAATCTCATAACTTTACATATTTTTAATAGTTCATGTCATATGCAATGACTTGTATACAAAAGCAAACATATAAATTTAATATTTCAATATTACTGAACTCCTGGATACATTTGTGTACATAATTCACAAACAATTATGCTTGCATACAACTAAACAAAAGCATTCAATAAAATGTATATCTAGAAAAAACTGTTCACTGCTAAAATTTATTTTAGTAATTTCCATATTCTTGTCCAGGCTTCTGATGACGCAGACTCATACCAACATGTGTCCGTTGGAATCCTCAGCCGAAAAAATGAAGATGAGGCCCTGCAACCCCGGTCCTTCCACCTCCACCCATCCTCAGTGGGAATCATCTTGGAGGGGAATGTTGTAATGGACAATTTTATTTTAGCTACATTTAAATAAACTAATTTTGTTGACTAACTTTCAACATTATTATTATTATTTTTTGAATGTAGCTAAAATAAATTGTTTGCAACCACTTACCATAAAAAAAATAATAGTATCATTTTTTTCAGTGTAGGCGTATATAGATCATAGTATAGATGGATTAAATCGGGAGATATATATTTTTAGTTTGAACAGTAATGGCTGAGAATGTGTCCAGTGAAGGGATATATTCTGAGGCCCATGAATGTTATGAGATATTGAAACCCAGTTTTGGCTCTAATGATTGGCATCCTGTATTTACTGCTTATCTAACACACGTCTGCTATTTAAAACAGACAAAGTGCTCCCTGCATCAACCCACACACAAGCTTTCATTAAAAATGTATAATAACAAACCTCTCTTAGAATAGCCATTAGTATCCATTAGAGGCATAATCCCAGAACATATGCTGCATGGTATTACTCAAGATAGAACAGGGCCAGAGTGAGGGTGTAAAAGCTGGAGGATCTCTTATGTGGAGGAGGATTAGTGAACCAGCAGGTTTTCTCTCAGGAACCGAAAGAACAGCTCCCATCGAGATAACATGTATACTCGGGGGGGGGGGGGAAACATGCCGTGAATGTTTTTTGACATAGGCTAATTTTATGTATATGTATACGCAACTGTATTTCCGCGCTGTCTGAAACGTCTCTTGTGCGCGCTTTGTGTGCGAGAACAGCGCGTGAGTAACGAATTGAGCTCTCTTTCGTTTCTTCTTCTTGTTGTTTAAAATTGCTTGTACGTGTAAATTGGCAAATTAATCTGCGCATCACGTGCGGTAGGGTCTCATCCGTACGTATTACGGATCAACTGCGATCCGTTTAACTCCAAATATGTGACAGATCAGAGCAATCTTTCATTTACTTATTTAACATGAAATTGTCAAATTGCTACTCCATATCAATCGCATACAAAGAAAATACAGAATAATTAGAACAATCATTAACAAAAATAAATAACAGAGTGTCATTGCCTATCTATACACATTTTTCCCAGAACTTTCTTGTGACCCGGTAGCAAATCTTCCACGGCCCGGTGGTGGGTCGCGACCCGGTGGTTGGGGACCTCTGTTATAGAGTAACAGAATGCTGTTATGTTGTCAGGAGTCAGTATACACAAAGACAAGCAATTATTCAAAATAGAAATCTTCTTTAGCTACCGTTAAAAACTTCGAGGGCAGTATTTTTATTTTTATTTTATTTATTTTTTTATTCCCCCCCACCCCTTTTTGAAATAAATGTATATTTTAATTCAGCAAGGATATGTTCAATTGATAAAAAGAGATAGTAAATAATTATATTATTAGAAAAGATTTAGATAAAAAAAAATGCTTTTCTTTTTAACTTTTTATTCATCAAAGAATCCTGAAAAAGTTTCAAAAAAATATTAAGCAGCAATAACTGTTTCCAACATTGATAATAAATCAGAATATTAGAATGATTTTTGAAGTATCATGTGACACTGAAGTCCATTGCTGATGAAAATTTAGCTTTGCATCACAGGATTAAATTAACATTTTAAAGTATTAAAATAGAAAACAGTTATTTTGTTTTTTAATAATATTTTACAAAATTACAATATATACAGGTGCATCTCAATAAATTAGAATGTTGTGGAAAAGTTCATTTATTTTTTTTTCTGTATTCTCTTTAAATAAATACAGACTTGATTCGCATTTTTGGTAGGTAGGTAGGTAGGTAGGTAGATAGATAGATAGATGAGCTATAAGTTATCTTGCAAATATTGCTATTCTTGTGTATTTATTTGCATTCATTCATAACAATGTAAAAGTGACTAAAAGTCAGATTACAGTACTTGTGATTCAAATTTGGACACTGATTACATTTTAAGTAATTCAAAGGTAATTAGTTTGACATAATTAGTGATTTGTAACTGTAATTCATTTTAAATGTAACCCTCACATCTCTGTCAGCGCTGGACTCCCAAAACACAATGACGTCCATCTCTGGCTGATCAGCAGGCAGTGTTTAATGAGCGAGAGCCAGATGCTTTCTCAAGGCTTCAGCCTGGGAGTGGTTAATTAATCAGATTGCTCTCTCTCTCTCTCTCTCTCTCCCTGTCCCTCTTTCCCTTTCTTTCTCTCCTCTCTTTCCTCCATGCGACCTCTCTCCCACAACATTATAGAACACTAATCCATCATCTTCAGCTTTTTACTGGGGTTAGCTGAACACACCATGAAGCAGTTTTCCAATTTTCCAGCAACCGAGTGAAGCTCTTAAGATGGCTATTTGCCACATTTGGGTACACCATTTCCTGTTGGGCACAGCGGTGTTGAAACTAGAAAGGAACTGAATATTAAACATATTGGCTCTATTCCAAAACCTCTGCAGTGAGCCCATGTAGGCAGAATTTTAAAGCACTATAGGTGCGCTCCCAACATGAAAGCTTTCACAAAAGGTAGACAGCATAATTATGCTGCCTTCTGAGATACCTTATTTTTCCCGCTAAATAAAGTCAGTATTGCATGTATCCTTTACAGAGAAGACAATCCCAGCCAGGCCACACAGAATCTGTGCTGCAAAATCTTTATATTTTAACCACCCTTCTTTCGTAAAGTTTCACAAATACCCTTGATGAGTGAGTAAATGAAGACAGAATATTCATTTTTGGGTGAATCTTTCTCATAGACAGGTTCTTCTTGGGATTTGCAGTGAACGAGACCTCTAGCTTCTGGCGTGATCTATTTTCATACGCATGAAAAGTGATGACTGCTGAAAAATGGGATCTTCTGCAGCCAGAGATGCTATTCACAGCACACTGACCCCTGGCTAATCAAGCCTGTTAAAGGCCAGCGCAAAACCCTTCATTACCCCCATTAAAAATCCCATAAAATGACGCTCTCTAAATGCCACCGGATGAATTAGACATGCATACGGTCAGCACAGGTAGACGTACAGAGCTGCCAGTTATTAATGTACCTTCAGTTCGGATGCTGAATGGGGAATCGCCCAGTCGCTTGGCCGAGAACTGCCCCCCCAGAGAGGTCATTAAGAAGCACAGACTGAAGAAACCGATCCCCGCCACAAATATCCTGCAAGAGATAGACAGATAGATGTATGAATGTATTGGGGTGGAACAAGAAAAAAGCCAGACAATGACGAGAAACCACTATGAGAAGTATAACTGTTAGAATAAGTATATTATCCTTGTGAAAATTAAAGCTTTGTCATTGTTTACTCACCTTGTTGTTGCAAACCTGTTCACGTTTTATTTTTTAAGAAGAAAATATTCACACAGGCGTTTTCTATGAAAGTGTAGTACACAGTGACCACGTCTGCTAAGTTAAAATGTACATAAATAAATACAGAAATAAAAAACCCTAAACGTGGTCCAAGTGACTCATTCCTTGTATTCCAAATATTCCATCATACAACATGTCCGTGTAACAAACAGAGCAAAAAAATTATTAAATTAACTCAATAATGTTTCGCTCCATCAGACAAATAGAGTGCTCCAATGATGACACATTTTTGTATGCCAAACCGGAAGTTAGCAAACAAACCCATCAAATATTTTTAAATTCAAGCAGTTGCTTCCAGCTTTAAAAAAAATGGTCTTATCTGAATCAGGAGAGAAATATGCACAGAGCAACTTATAGTAGTCCAAAACAATTTAACACAATTATGTTGGTGGGTTTTGATGTGAGAGGACAACAGGGAATGGGGTTTTTCACTGGAGGACGCATTATTATGGATTATGGACTTATGTTTTGGCCAATGCAATGATTTAAAGTCAAAATGCCATAATGATGGAGTTGCCTCCTACAAACACACAGCCTTTCACTTCATTCTGACGGCACCCATTCACTGCAGAGGATCCACTGATGAGCAAATGATGTAATGCTACATTTCTCCAAATCTGTTCAGATGAGGAAACAAACTCATTTACATCATGGATGGCCTGGGGGTGAGTGCATTTTTGGGCAAACTATTACTTTAAGCTTCCAACAACTCCTTTAGTCTTTAAAGTATTAACAAATAAGTAAAGAAAGAAATAACATATTTCTGATAGTTCCCTGATCCCTGAAAGTTTGAGTTAGAATAGTTTGGAAGAATTTCATTATAAATGCAACGTAACTGTAAAAGTAGACTGACAACTTTGAGGCTTATGGACTAATGAGATTAATTTTACTGTTTGCCATAATGACGTTTAATGTCCCTGACAACCTCTGTAGTCCCATTTAGACACTTGATAGCAACTGCCTTTTTCAAGACAAGTAAAAGCTTTTAAAAAATCACAAGCAGGTATTACTGATATATTTTGTGCTTGTGTTAACCACAGACCATTCAAAAAACCCACTGACTTCCAGGATGATGGAACTGAAGTGCTGAAATGCTGACTCGTTTCCGGGTTTTGCCTACAAAAATGCATCATCCTTGCAGAACACTATTACTGGTGCAGCAGAATTGATATGCAGCAGAGTTGAAGCAGAATTGATATGCTTATTTTGAGTAATAATGAATTAAATGTTGGTCTGTTCCTCAGACAAAGCTATTATAGGATTTTAGAAGACTTAAAAAAAGTGATTGTGACATGTGGCCAAGTATGGTAAGTACTTATGTTATTTCAACCTTTGGGTTACGAGTCAGACTCTCTAACCATTAGGCCATGACTTCCCACGGAGTGACTTATGTAGTCATGTGGACTACTATGGTATTTAATGGTGTTTTGATCAATATGGAGCTTCCCAGACATAGACACTGTCATTGTATAGAAAATAACTGCATGAAAACAACTGTATACATTTTTTTGGAATGACATGATGACAGAATAGTCTCATAACAATGGCAGAACTTTCATTTTTGGGTGAACTGTTTCTTTAAACGTCACTGACTTCTCAGTTTATATAAACCTAGAGTTTTATGTATTCATCCTAAGGCAAATACACATTTGCATTACAGATATTTGAACAAAGAAGGTGAAATTCAAAACATTATTCATGTTTCTCAAACAGAAATGAAAATGTACAAGGCCACTCATGATGACTTTATGCTTTTAAGAAGCCCACTAAAAATTAAGTATGCTTTTCATTGCTGTATGCAGTTCATAACATCATAAAATAAGAATAAACCACATCTTTTGTCAGGGTTAACCTATACAGTAGCTGTAGCCTGCAGGCTAGAGCCTTGGATGGGTAATCAAAACCTTTGAGGTTTATAGGAGATTTACACAGTGTAAGGGAAACAGGTCAATTTAGCTCAAAGGGAATAATTTAAGATTTTAAAGGGAATTTGGACAGAATCACTGTTTTACGGCTGATCACTGAGACGGCCAGCGATTCATTGAACGAGCCGTATAACATCAACTCTGCAATGGATATTTATATCCAAAATATAGTGAAAACACTATTAATTAGCACAGTAACAAGATTGGCAGTTTAAGACATTAACTTGTGAGCACAAAACACAAGATACTTCTCTTTTCAATATAAATAAGGCTTTATTGGATAAATCTAAGACATATAAACTAATCTAACACATAAACACACGCATTCACACAAGTTGCAGAAAGAGAGAAAGTGAGGAAATAATGAGTTTAAGAGAATGAAAATGTGAAATCCCAAGTTTACAGCAATATGTGCAATTGCATAGATCTGAACAACCATCAATCACTTAATTAACCCTCGCATTGAGTTCCTCAATGAGGTTAAAATTTATATTAAATGCACAAGTTCAGCTAGAATCTGAAGGTACTTGCATTGCCTGTGTGCGGGGGTTCCCTTTGTTGTGGTCCTTGCAGAAAAGGGGCTTTCCCGCGGTTGCTGATTGGCTGGAAGTTCAGTCTTGGGAAGCCAGTGGTTGGGCGTTGGCTGACGACGCGGAGCTGTGGTCTGGTTAAAGTTTTAGACGGCACTCGAGGTCGGACTCGGACTCGAGGTCGGACTCGGAGACACGGCGTTAGGTAAAACTTAACTCGGAACACGAAACTCTCAACAGAAAAGAAAAGAAAAACCATTTTTTTTCATTTCCTCCATTGTATGTGTGCAGGGTAAACATTTGAATTTGAGTATGTTAAATTTAGGCGAAAATACCAAAAAACGCCCCGAGCTTAAGTGGATAAACTATTCAATAGTTATTGAAAATACATACACAATAAATGATTAAAACGTGATAGTCTAATGTGTGGGTTAGATACATAATATGGGGTTATGCATAGAAATGATTAGTTGCTCACGAGTCCTTTTAGTGTCATTTAGGTCCATGGAAAGACAGTTTCTGTGCCATTCTGTGAATGTATGGAGGCCAGAGATTAAGAGGTCTCTAAGGAATCTCTGAAAGTCTGTTCTTTGTCTCCTAGGTGGGGGGGGTCAATCCACAGAGCTCGTGATTGTGGTTACTATCACATGATGGTCATGCTGTCATCTCTTTGACCATTTAATCTTGATTACTTGCCCTAAAATTGACAATCTCCTTCCTGAGTTGTTATGATCAGTGTGTTCCGTTTGTGTTAATGTTGAAAGATGTTCTGTGAAATAATTGGTTAGGCTTGCTTCAGACTGGCTAGTGCTAGGGTCTGATTTATGAACATCCTGTTGTCTTGGGCCTCTGTGGAATTCGGCTCCTCATGTTTCAACCATGTTTTGACCAAATCTTAGATTGTCTGATTCGGTCTGATATCCTACACAA